GTAAAAGAAAATATGTTGCAGTAAAAATAGAAGAACTAAACTTTTAAGAATGATTTTATTCAATAGTTTTATTTTATTAAGTTAAAAATAATAAACTAACAAAAAATAAGTTAAAATCTACAAAAAATATTTTAGCTTCATATATCATTGGAAATAAGTTATTTCATCCAAATTCACCGAAATCACCTAAAACAAACAAAAATAATTGATATTACCCACTATAAAATTAAGTATAACAATTACCTTTAAGTGGATCATTTTTTATCATAACTGGAGCACAACGACCAGTATGATGATATTGAAACTAAATTAATAATAATGAATTTAATTATTTTGGTATAATTTATAAAAATTTTATCTTTATATAAGTTAAATTTGATAATATTAATCTAATTATTAATGTGATTAATTACTTTATATTAATTTTGCTGATATTAATTTTGCTGATATGATATTTATCTTTTAGAAAATTATCTAAAAATTAGAAAACAACCTAAATTTTTTTTAAAATATATAAAAATAAAAATTCCAAAAAATAAAAAAATTTATTTTGGCTGGATTTGTGAATTTTTCAAAAAAATTAATTTTAAAAATATTTAATGTTTTAAATTCATATTTCATGAAGTTTTTTAAAAGTCAGATTTTAATTTTTAAAAAATAAAAAATTGGAATTATTTATAATTTTTCGTTTCACAAATATTAATTTTATTTTTTCAAATTTTAAAAAGAATAATATTTCTTGAATTTTTATAAAATTTAGATATCATTTTTTAAAAAATAATTTTTAATTTCTAAAATTTTAAAAATATTTACCAATATTATTTTTAAGAAAAAATAATATTTTTGAATTTTTAAATAAAATCATAATATTTTAAAAAATTAAATATTTGTAATTTTTAGGAAATTTTTAGATTTTTTAAATATTAATTTAATATTTTAAAATAAAATTACTAAAAATTAAACTTAATATTTTATAATTTGATCAATTCTGAAAATTGAAAACTATTTTTAGAAAATTGAAAATTGATTTTTAAAAAAATTAAAGAAATATTATTTTCTAAAAAATTTAAATATTGAAAATTTTAAATTTAATATTTTTAAATTAAGAAAAAATCTTAATAATTCATAAATTTTAATTTTTTATATTAAAACATTATTTTTCAAAAAATAAAAAAATATTATTTTCAAAAAATTAAAATATTTAAAATTTTTTAATTTAATATTTTCATAAAATTCGAGAAGCCTAAAAATAATTTTTTAAATAATTTATTTTAAATATTTAAGACTTTAATTTTCAGATTTAAAAAAATGATTATGTCAACAAAATTAAAGAAAAGTAATTGATTGCATCAATGATTAGATCAATGATATTAAATTCAACTAAAAATTAATTATTTACACATTTTAAATTTTGATTTCATTCATTCATGTTACTAAATCAGCAAAATCAATACTATGGTAGTAAAATTAATAGAGGTTAACAAGGTCCTTGATTGCATAAACATTTTTAGCATTTTGGAAATTTGATGATGATACTAAAAATATACTAAAAATATCAAATTAAATTTGCATAAGAATGAGATTTTTATGCAATTATACTAGAAGGATTAAATTTTAAATTTTATTTGAATATAAAAATCATTTGTATAATTTAATAATTAATTTCATCTATTCAAATTAACGTGTTAATAAAATCAATATTACGTCAATAAAATCAATGCATATATCACCAAGTTAATGGTCATATTAACATTTTTAAAGACAAAAAATTGATGGATTTAATAATTGAATTAAAATTATCAAATTAAATTTATATAAATTACAGTACATAAACTAAATTTTAGATTTTGATAAAAATACATAAACCTCTAGCATAATTTGACTTAATTAAGACATTATTAGTAAAATTTATAATTCATACTATTATAAAACATCATCCATTCTTCCTTTTCTTTTTTAAAAAGAATGTATATCATCCATTCTCCCGTTGTTGTAGAAGGAAAAGGTATAAATTGTTATAGATGATGAGTGGTAACATATAATTACAGATCCAAAGTTTAGATTTTTAAACTAAAACTTTAAATCAACAAATTGAACATACACCATTAATTATTTGTAATATGATAATTCAAATATTTTTGAAGAGTAAACTTAAGACACATTTAGTAAAGCTATTATCATTGTAATATAAATAGGAAATATTTTTGAATAGAAGTAAGTTTTATTTATTTATTTATTTTTTTTGGAAGGACGTCAAATTTGTAGAGTGATAGTAAGAAGATAAAAAAGTAGTACTATAATTGAACAGGGGATTGGCACTTAAGTTAGGCAGATTGGGAAATTGAGGAACAATTCGAAGCAGGGGTCATGTCTTTTGTCTAAAATGTGTAGCTTGCCCTTAGCCTGCCCTGCGCCAGCACGGCAGAGGTTGGCAGTAAATAGTCGTCCTGAAATAGAAATAGGAAAAACAAAAACAAAAAAACAAAGAAAGAAGGAAAAAGGATACACGGAGTATTAGGAAGGCTAATTAAAAAAATAAATTATGATAATAGTTTATATATTTAATCAAATATAAATATAATTTTTTTGTAATTTATAAAAATATAAATTTTGTATTATTTTAATTTAGTAATTTTAATTTAATAATTAATTGATTAAACTTTTGTCATTAAAAATATTAACGTAATTGTTGACTTGATAATACAACATTAACTTAGTTAAAGTAACATTAATTTTATTGACGTGATAATGAATAAATAAAATTGGTTATCAAATTATATAAATAATTTACATACTATAAAAAATTAATTTTAATTTTAGGGTTTTAATTTTAGAATTCTTAAACTTTAGAGATGAAGCTCAAATTTTTTGAAAGAAATTAAAATATTTAAGAATTTTGGTTTAGAAAAATAAAATGTAAAAGAAAATATGTTGCAGTAAAAATAGAAAAACTAAACTTTTAAAAATTATTTTATTCAATAGTTTTGTTTTATTAAGTTAAAAATAGTAAACTAACAAAAAATAAGTTAAAATTTACCAAAAATATTGTAGATTCATATATCATTTGAAATAAGTTATTTCATCGAAATTCAACGAAATCACCTAAAACAAACAAAAACAAAAACAATTGATATTACCCACTATAAAGTTAAGTATAAAAATTACCTTTAAGTGGATCATTTTTTATCATAATTGGAGCATAACGACCAGTATGATGATACTGAAACAAAATTAATAATAATGATTTCAATTATTTTAGTATAATTTATAAAAATTTTATCTTTATATGAGTTAAATTTGATAATATTAATCTAATTATTAATGCAATTAATTACCTTATATTAATTTTGCTGATATGATCTTTATCTTTTAGAAAATTATCTAAAAATTATAAAACAACCTAATTTTTTTAAAATATATAAAAATAAAAAATTCCAAAAAATAAAAAAATTATTTTGGCTGGATTTGTGAATTTTTCAAAAAAAAATTAATTTTTAAAATATTTTAATGTTTTAAATTCATATTTCATGAAGTTTTTTAAAAGTCAGATTTTAATTTTTAAAAAATAAAAAATTGGAATTATTTAGAATTTTTCGTTTTACAAATATTAATTTTATTTTTTCAAATTTTAAAAAGAATAATATTTCTTGAATTTTTATAAAAATTAGATATCATTTTTTAAAAAAATAATTTTCAATTTCTAAAATTTTAAAAATATTTACCAATATTATTTTTCTTAAAAATAATATTTTTGAATTTTTAAATAAAATCGTAATTTTTTTAAAAATTTAAAAATTTGTAATTTTTAGGAAAATTTTAGCTTTTTTAAATATTAATTTAATATTTTAAAATAAAATTACTAAAAATTAAACTTAATATTTTATAATTTGATCAATTCTAAAAATTGAAAACTATTTTTAGAAAATTGAAAATTGATTTTTTAAAAATTAAAGAAATATTAGTTTCTAAAAAATTTAAATATTGAAAATTTTAAATTTAATATTTTTAAAATTAAGAAAAATATTAATAATTTATAAAATTTATTTTTAAATTAAAATATTATTTTTCATAAAAAAATTAAAGAAATATTATTTTCAAAAAATTAAAATATTTAAAAATTTTAATTTAATATTTTTATAAAATGCAAAAAGCCTAAACATCATATTTGTATTACATTTTTATCATTTTTAAAATTTTTTAAAATTTTATTTTAAATTTTTAAGACTTTAATTTACTGATTTAAAAAAAAAACGATTATGTCAATAAAGTTAAAAGAAAAATAATTGATCACATTAATAATTGGATCAATGTTATTAAATTTAACTAAAAATTAATTATTTACACATTTTGAAATTTGATTTCATTCATTCATACTACTAAATTAGCAAAATCAACACTATGGTGATAAAGTTAATGGAGGTTACCAAGGTCCACGATTACATAAACATTTTTAGCATTTTGGAAATTTGATGATTATACTAAAAATATACTAAAAATATATAAATTATATTTTTATAAATTATAATATGCTAAAAATATGAAATTAAAATAATATAAAATTTATTTTTATAAATTATAATAAAAAATTAAACTTCAAATTTTGTGACAATACAAGGAATATTATCATAATTTAAACTAAAAAAAGTGAAAGAAGACACTTTTTCAGATTGTAAGGAATAAAATCTGCAATCAAGCTTTTTTTAATGAATGTGTTGCAAAAGAAAAGGCAAGGCATGTGACGGGGAGGTGGGACCCGCATCCACCTAGCTCTTAATTTTGGCTCCGCTCCCTCTGTTTTTTTTTTTGTTTGATTTTTGGATTTAGGGATTACGTGACAGAATAGAATCAAATCACAAAAAAACAAACAAAACAACTAAAGAAATGGGATATTTTCTCTTTTCTGTTTCTCAAAAATTCAAAAGTCTCTCTCATCCCAACAAAAAACGCAAGTAATCATATTCCGGAAAAATAAATACAACCCAATATAATTAACGAGGCTGGCAGAGGGTAGGTTGAGATTGACTGGCGTTAATTTCTAAAAAAAAACTCCGTCTTACTTGCCCACTTATAATAATCTACAACTAGCACGCTTGTGACTGCGAGTGTAGTTGAATAAGGAAATTGCAAAGTCAAGCCCGCCCAACCCCACCCATCTCCTCATTCCTATGACAGTCCGTCGCCCATTCTGAATTCTGAATTGTAAAAGCCTTTTCATCACAAGTACAACTACAAATACAACAACATACAGCTGAGCAATTTGGCAATTACTTATTTACTGCTTTCCTTCGTCTGAGGAGAGGATAGCTTCAATCATCCAAAAAAAAAAAAAAGATATTGGGTCTCTCCAAATCTTGGCTTTGCGTTAATGGCGGATCTCAAGTCAGCATTTCTCAAAGTGTATTCCCAGCTCAAATCGGAGCTTCTTCAGGATCCTGCTTTCGAGTTTACTGATGATTCTCGTCAATGGGTTGAGCGGGTATTTCACTTGCATTTTTCATTTACGCAAACCCCAACTCTCTGTCTTGCCGTAGGTTTTTTTTTTTTTTTCTTTTTTCTTGACCATCCGATTTCCTTTACCCACTGCAGATGCTGGACTACAATGTGCCTGGAGGTAATTTAACTTATTCTCTCTGACTCGTTAATTTTTTAAGCTTCTCCTGGCTTGGCTTTTCATACACTGCAACTTACTTGTTTTCTGTTTTCAGGGAAGCTGAATCGGGGACTTTCTGTAATTGACAGCTACCGCCTGTTGAAAGAAGGAAAAGAATTGACTGAAGATGAGATTTTCCTTGCAAGTGCTCTCGGTTGGTGTATTGAATGGGTATCCCTCTAAATCATTATGCCAATTCATGCTGCTTCTCATAATTTTTTCTTATTAACATACTTTTCCCGCTTCTGCTAGTTGTTATGCTGTTACACGGGATGACAATCTTGTGATTTTTCGCAATAAAAATTGCAGCTTCAGGCATATTTTCTTGTTCTCGATGACATCATGGATAACTCTCACACCCGGCGTGGCCAACCTTGTTGGTTTAGAGTACTCAAGGTTTGTACTTTTGTACCAAGTCTGACCCTTATTATATCATTTTTTTTCTTTTTTTGTTTATATTTTTCCCTCAACAAGAATCAATTAACTTTGTATAAATTCCTTGTAGGTTGGTTTGATTGCTGTAAATGATGGCGTTCTACTTCGCAATCACATATGCAGGATTCTCAAAAATCACTTTCGTGGGAAACCTTACTATGTAGATCTGCTGGATTTATTTAATGAGGTAATTAATTTGGATATATCTTAAAAACTCTTCTTTGAAAAACTATCCTAAATATTGTTAGATATTTGCTTTAAACAGGTGGAGTTTCAAACAGCTTCAGGACAGATGATAGATCTGATTACTACACTTGAAGGAGAAAAAGATCTATCCAAATACTCATTGTCACAGTGAGTTAAGCTTTAGCAATTATTTGTTTCAAAAAACCATGATGAAATATATATGGTGATTAGATCACTTTGTTTGGTAGGAACTCAATGATACTTATTATTTGTTTCAAAAATCCATGATGAAATATATATGGTGATTAGATCACTTTGTTTGGTAAGAACTCAGTGATACTAAGTGGCAGTGATGGACCATCGAGAGTGATCAGATCACTGCCTCCCTGATTGTGATCTAATTCCCATATAAAAAGATGGAAACTTTAATCATCAAAGGGAAGTGATATGTAAAATTAGTTTATTTTACCCATTTAATATGTGAATTAAAAATTTAATGCATCTTAAAATTGTAATTATTTTATATTATAAATTTTTATATTTTAATTCATTATAACAAGTTTAAAATAATGTGTAATTTTTTTTACTTTTTTAATAATTTATATATAATATAATTTATTGTTTTTCTTTATTATGAATTTAATAAATTTGTTTTATTTTCTATTTCAAGTATTTTTTACATATTTACATTATAAAAATCAATTTACCTATCAATAAACATATTTATTAATTTAATAATTTAATTATATTTTATTACAAAATAAATAAATATTACAATATTTTACAAATTATTATCTTTAAACAACCTAAAATTATTAATTTGTGTAATTATTACAATAAGTATGATTATTTTTGTACTTTTAAACAAAATAATGTGTGATTTTTAATAATACCAAACCTTGTGATTTTTAATTCTTAAGAATTAATCATTGTTAACTAAACAAAGTGATATCAAATCATGAATGTTAAGATCACCTTGATAATAAAATCACCCTAGTAGTTATGTTATCAGGGTGATCCTGCAAAAGATATCAAATGCTACCTAAAAGTTGTAGAACTATTTATAAAAAATGCAAGTGATAACTAACTTCGTATCATATTGTAGTCCAAGGTGACAAATTATTCCAACATAAAAAATGGCATATGCTGCTTGGCATCAAATTTTGCAACCATAATGACAACTTTCGTTTCCATACTTTGCTTGATTTTTATTTCTGTCATTTCAACTCTTTCTAGTAGTAATTCTTATGTATCTTCTTATCTGTATATTGGTTAAAAATCTCTGCAGGCACCGCCGTATTGTTCAATACAAGACTGCCTATTATTCATTTTATCTCCCTGTGAGTCTCAACCTCCATTTCACTTGAAGCATGCTTAGTTGCTTACTGAATTATCAGCAATCCTTTTTTCTTCAGCCTTTTGTTAAAAGACATTATTACCATTATGATTCTATTGCTCTTGGGCTAGCTGCACACAAATTGTTGCAAAATTTGATAAAGCACATCATCTCCTCATTCCCTGCATCTACTATTGAATATTCTTATGCGTGATTAGGTACATCAGAAGGTTTAGTTGGATTGACTAGTTGCTTCTTTACTGGCTATATCTCTCAGATTTTCCATTTTGCTACTAATGTTTCTTTTATCTAGTTGGGCTGCTGCTACAGCTAATATTCTTTTATGAGGGTCCTTCCCTGAATATGTTTAATTATTGACATCAGAGTTTATTAGTTGTATGGGGTATTTGCTACTTATATTTTACCTAAATGAACCCAGGTTGCATGTGCACTGGTTATGTCGGGTGAGAATCTTGACAACCACGTCGATGTAAAGAACATTCTCGTTGATATGGGGATCTACTTTCAAGTACAGGTAATATTTGGCCAAGCGCATGATATTTTAGCTTCTGCAATTTTATTCTGCAAATAAAGAAGATAGGTAGAGTTGGCATCAGGTCGGGTTCAGGGCAGGTTTTGCTCGCCTCGAACCTGACCCGACTTTATGTGTTATCAAACCTGAACCCGATCCTACCCGATTTTTTTTTGTTTTTTCATACCCGAACCCGACCCCAACCCGATACTATATAAACTGTACCCGTCGTTATCCGAAATTAATAAAATATTATTTTTTAAATATAAATATTTAAAAATATCATTATATGTATAAATAAAAAATTAAATAATTAATTAAAAAATAATTTTTATATAATATCGGGTCGGGTTTGCTTAAAAATCCGAACTGGAACCCGACCCTGATTGTTTCATAAACTTACTCGACCCGAAACCTGAATTTCGAAAAAAAAAAAAACCGACCCCGTAGGGTTGGGTCGGAACCCGTCGGGGATGGGTCAAATTGCTGACCCTAAAGATATGTGACTACTGATAGTTAAATAAATTTAATATTTTAATTGTTTAAATATATCAGAACTTGCTTAAAGTTTTATTTTATATAGGGACTATAAATTTGTGATTTCAGTTGAATTCTTAATAAGTTTCATTTAAGAATTGCCCAGAATGGTTTGTCACTCCCAATATGTGCTCCAATGTTTCTTTCTTGGCTCAGGTGGAATTAATTTCTTTGATGCTTCTTCTTTTGTAGCCAGATCCTTTATGTTAATTATTTGATTTTTCTTTTCTGCAGGATGATTATTTGGATTGCTTTGGTGATCCTGAAACCATTGGTAAGGTGAGCACAGCATGATGGAACTAGAATTCTGTCTGTGAAGATTAAAAAGAACACGTCTATTTGTTTCATGCAAATTCTTACTCAAGCTTGTTGTAATCTCAGATTGGAACTGATATTGAAGATTTTAAGTGCTCTTGGTTGGTGGTCAAAGCATTGGAAATCTGCAACGAGGAGCAGAAGAATGTGTTATATGTAAGATTGGCACTGTTTTTATCAGTTGTGTAAAATTTGATATGGTTACTCATTGATGTAATGCTTTGCTTCCAGGAGAACTATGGGAAACCAGACCCTGTTAATGTTGCTGAAGTAAAGGCTCTATATGATGAGCTCAATCTCAAGGTTTGACATATTTCAGGATTTCTTGTTTAAATATAAAAAGAGAGCAGGACATGTTTCAGGGTTGATATTATGGTATTTCCCGGTTGTGCTTATTGTTTATCTTTGATGTGAATATGACAGGGTGTATTTGCGGAGTATGAAAGCAAGAGCTATGAGAAGCTGATAACCTCAATCGAAGCTCATCCTAGCAAAGCAGTGCAAGCAGTGTTGAAGTCCTTCTTGGCGAAGATTTACAAGAGGCAGAAATAGAGAGTATCCAGTTTCCAAAGACAGATACAGATGAAGGGGGGATGATGTCAAACATTCCCACTCTTGCATGCTCATTTGTATTCTAGTTTTTATAATTGGCAGATAAACCAATCTTCTTGTAGTCTATTTCAACAAAAATTTGGTACTCCAGGATTTGGATTATTGGGATTTAATAAGTGGAGTTCATTCTTATCCAAATATATATATATATATATATATTTATATAAAAGGTCAATATACCATGTATGTAATCTGTTCAATACCTGGAGCTTATAGATGCGTGGTTAGATTATGTAGTTTGCAATTAGAATTTTCCATTTACAATACCGTGGAATTTTTATTATATGAAATATGAATGCATTGAATATATATATATATATATATATTTATATGTATGTATATTTATGGACAGAGGGATGTAGGTAGCTTGGAGGAAAATGGGTAGACTAGCGTATTAGTTATGTTACTGCGTGGCTGGAGTTACAAATGAGTGAGTGAGGAGGGAAATATCGATGATAAAATAATGCGAAAATGATATAAAAAAAAAAGAATAAAAGTAATGCAATTTAAAATTTTAATAAAAATTATATATAAAATTAAGAAAGTAAAAAAAAATATTTTATATTTATATGATAATATAAATTATAATATATAATTTTTATTAAAATATAACATAAATGTATAAATTTTTAAAGAATAACTTGCACGATATAAATATATGAATTTTCATATAAAAAAATTATGTCCAATCCCAACTGCAGAAAAAAAGGGGAGGGTAATTTACTGTTACTTAAAAGTATTAAGAATTAGTTTAGTATTGCTGTTACATTTGAAAAAATTTAAATTAAAAAAAAGTCTAAAAAATATTTGGTATTATTGTAAAAATTTGCTGTTGAAATGTAAAAAAAAAAATTATAAATATAAGATAATAAAGTAATTTTTTATTAAGTATTTTTTATTTTAATTGAAAATTAAACTTTTAGACTAAAAAACTAAATTTCTTTTATAATTTAACATTATATTTGAATTCAAAAAAATTATTGATGTAAAAATTACTTTTTTTAGCAATGTTGGAAGAGCATCAATCTCCCACTCACACACCTAACAAACGTACAGTTTAGTTACAAAAGCCCATAACTGGGAGAGGCATAGGGCTACTACACTAGAACTAGGAGGGCTCACGCAACTCAACGCCCAATGGAAACATTCAAAAATGGATTTCCATGTATGTATGCAGGGGGTAAGTGTATTTGTGATCCTAAATCTTCTATTTAGATTTCACTTTAATTTTTAACTTTTAAATTGTTTCATAATAATTTCAAATTTTTAAAAATGATGTTAAAATGGTATTTTAATCAAATTTTGCATAAAAATAAGAGAAAATTGCAACTTAAAATAATAAATCTAAAATTATTATTTTTTGCTATCATATTGAAATTATTTATTAGAAAATTAATAAGACTTTTAAAAATTTTTAAGAATGAAATAGAACTATCATTTTCCCTTAATTTTCAAAATTCAAATTAAAATTAGAGAAAAAATGATTCTTTAGTTTCCTTCTTATTATTTTTAAAAATTTTATTTTATTTTTAATAAATATATTTTAGTATGATAGCAAAAGTAATAAGTTTGGGTCTAATAGGATTTTATTTCCTTTATTTATTCTTATTTATCAAATTTTTATTTTCTCTATATTTATGAATTTTGATCAAAGAATATAAAATTAAATCCTATTATGAATAAAGGTAGAATTTATTTAAAAAAAAAAGAATGAAACATACCCAAATAATGTTTTAACAGTTAATTAAATAGAAATAATTAATAATTAATAATTTTAGAAAGTACTTTTTTTGTAAATTATTACTAGTATAATTTGAAACTCCCTAAAATTATGCTAACCTAACACAACAAACTTATTTACTACTATGAGGAAATATTTTATTAAAAATAATTCAATCAAGATTACTTAGCAAATGAGCATAATTCCCTAATTGTTTAAATTTAAAAATATAGTTAGAATGTAAATATTATTAATTAAGTCTTTTAGTATATGCAAACTTTTTATATTTTTTTAAGAATAAATATCAATCACTTAAGAGTCAAAATTATTTGGGTATGTTTCATTTCTTTTTTTTTTTTTGGTTAAAAATAAATTGTAACTTTATTTTTAGCAGGATTTAATTTATATTTTTATAAAAATTTGTAAATATTAGGGAAATAAAATTTAATAAAATAAAATAAAAAAGAAATGGAATTAGGATAATGGATTCAGAATTATTTCTTTTTACTGTCATAACAAAATGTATTTATTAAAAAATAAAATTTTCATAATTATTATGAAAGAAAATAAAGCATAATTTTTGTCCCTGATTTTAAGTTTAATTTTTAAAATCAAGGAAAAATGATATTTTCATTTCCTTTTAAAAATATTTATAAATTTTATTTTTTACCATTACATATCTTTAAACTGTTTGGGTATGTTTTATTTATTTTTTTGTTAAAATAATGTCTAACTTTATTTTTAATAGAATTTAATTTTATATTTTTATCAAAGTTTGTAAATATTAGAGAAATAAAATTTAATAAAATAAAATACAGAAAGAAAAATAAAATCATGATAATGGATCTGTAATTCTTACTTTTTACTATCATACTAACATGTATTTATTAAAAAATAAAATTTTTATAATTATGGTGAAGCAAACTAAAATTCGATTTTACGTTTGATTTTAAGTTAAAATTTTAAAATCATAAAAAAATTATAATTTCATTTCGTTTTAACAAGTTTTATAAATTTTATTTCTTTTCTAATGAATACATTTTGGTATAATTGTAAAGAGCAATAATTCTAAATTTATTGCAATTATTGCTCTGATTTGTAATTTCCTTTTTATTTTTATATAGAGAGACAGTATTGATACCTTTTTAAAAAGATTTAGGTATATTATAAAACAGTTTAAATATTAAAAATCAAGATAAAATTTAAATACTTCTTTTGTCTCTTTTTTTGTCCATCTTTTTTTTTTTAATATGTATCAAAATTATGTCCCTTTATTTAAAATTATTTTTTAATAAAATTTTTTATTTTTTGACATTAAATCATAAAATTTTAATTTTATAAGAAATTAATTTTAATATTAAATACATTAAAAGTCAAAATTCTTTTTTTTTTTTTAAATTCGGTGGAAGTCAATATCATCCACAAATTTAGAACGGAGGAGGTAAAAAATTTAAGATTATAAATACACTTTAGCATGTGTTTATTGTTTTTAATTTTTATATTTAGTAGTAGTAATTTATTTATTTATTTTTTTGCCAAAGTAGTAGTAATTGATTAGATTAATTAATTTATTTGTGAATGTGAATTTGTTTGTACATAACAACATCGCCAAAAAGTCAAAACTGAAACGCGCAATGGAAAGCGAATGCAACTTGAAATGTCTCCCTTTTTCTCTTTCTTCCTTCACTTCACAAAAAGAAAAGTCTCCCGTCTTTCCTCGTTTTGCTGTTAAAAATCAAAGATGATGTCCTCCTGCTCTTTCCGCTTTTGACATTGCTAATTGCATATCTTTGGAAAAGAAAATTTTCCCAAATTTAATCTGGGGTTTTTGTTTATTTATATTAAAGTAATTTGTTCTTGTAAAATTATTTCTGTCTGTGTTTCGATGGGTCTGGGTGAATTCTATTTCTTTGGCAATTGAATATATATATATATATACCCTTTCTAAAATAACAAGTTGTGTTTTTTCTTCCTCTTCTTCTTCTTCTTCTTCTTCTTCTTCTTCTTTTTGAAATTTGTAAATTGATATTGCTTGCAAAATTTTATTTCTAAAAAGTTGCTGATGCTTAATTTATATTTAAGTAAATCCTACAGGGCACTGCCTTAATTCTTTCTTATTAATAGTTAATAATGCGTTGAGTTTGATTGATTATTGCTATTTGTCGCACTAGTTTTTTTTTTTTTTTTTCGTTTGCGAGCTTTCTCGCTTTCTCCCAGAAATTGAAGAAATAGAAATACTGAGAAGAAAAGAAATACTAGTGGAAATTGAATGACGGCATTTCTGTCATTCTTCTTCCTTGGGTCTTCCAGTTTATACCAGTGACAGAGGCAGTGTTGATTGTAGATCGGTGGGTTCATCATAAAATTAAACATTATCAAGCCTACAGTTTGAACATTCTTTTTTAGGTTAGGATTGGATTGAGGTTCGTTCGTCTTTGATCCCATAAAGAAATCTGCGGAAAAACCAAAATGAAGCTCATTGTGGGCGTAATTGAAGCAAGAAACATACCAGCCATGGATTTAAACGGCTTCAGTGATCCATACGTCAGGCTTCAGCTAGGAAAACACAAGTACAGGACCAAAGTGGTGAAGAAGACGTTGAACCCAAGTTGGGGTGAGGAATTCAGTTTCAAGGTGGAGGATTTGAACGAGGAGCTTCTCATCTCTGTGCTGGACGAGGATAAGTACTTCAATGATGACTTTGTGGGCCACCTTAAACTCCCCGTTTCCCGGGTTTTTGATGCTCATCAAAAATCTCTTGGCACCGCTTGGTATTCCCTCCACCCTAGGAATAAGAAGTCCAAGAACAAGGATTGTGGTATGCTTTTCCTTTTTTATTTACATCTTTCCTTTCTCAGCATCGTTGCCATATCATGCCTCGTTTGCTGTCTGTCTTGTTGGCATCAATACTCGCCATCCCATTATCAAACTAAACTGGAATTCTTATGTTTTTCCCCTTTCTAAATGTCTCTTACTTGGAATATTCAACCGGGATTGCTGTTCTGTCTTACTATGATTCTAAATGGAAACCTTTTAGTCCCCCAAAAGAGCGTATCTAAGTAGTTGGGATCTAGGATTCAAAAATTCCATCACTGGTATGGGCTTTTCTGACTACAAGAATTTATCCATCTACTTTTCTTTCAACCTTCGCTGCAGGTGAAATACTTCTAAATATCTATTTTTCCCAAAACAATTCATTCATGGAGACTTGTAATGGTGATAATGCATCGACATTGAGGAAGCATGTGGACATGACTATTGAGGATCTTTCTAGGTCTTTTAGTGGTTCATCAAACTCCCCTTCTCCTCTGAGACAAGAAGATAATGTCTCTTCCAAGGAGGAGAAATCATCTGCGCAAAAATCCCTAGCAGGTCGAATTGCTCAAATGTTTAATAAAAATTTTGACACTGCTCCTACTACCTCCACTAGGGGCATTGATTTGATGGAGATACCTGAAACTTCAAGAGCTGATATTTCTGATGACAAGTCTGATGATCAGTCATCCTCTCTTTCTTTTGAGGAAGCAATGAAAGCATTGGACTCCAGAGATCAGGGAAGTGAAATTCCAATCAATTTATCTGGAGGAGTCCTTCTGGACCAATTATATGTGATCGCACCAACAGAGCTAAACTCTCTACTTTTTTCACCTGATTCAGGTTTTCCTAGGTCATTAACAGAGGTGCAGGGATTTACAGATCCACAATTTGGGCCTTGGAAATTTGAGAATGGTGGTGAGAGCTTAAAGAGAGTTTATTCTTACATCAGAGCTCCAACCAAATTAATTAAGGCAGTGAAGGCCATTGAAGAGCAAACGTATATAAAAGCTGATGGGAAAACTTTTGCTGTTCTAGCAGCTGTGAGCACTCCTGATGTTATGTATGGGAGCACCTTCAAAACTGAAGTGCTGTACTGCATTACTCCTGGTCCTGAGCTTCCGTCTGGAGAACAATCTTCACATTTGGTGATTTCATGGCGAATGAACTTCTTGCAGAGCACCATGATGAAAAGTATGATAGAAAATGGAGCCCGGCAAGGTCTAAAGGAAAGCTTTGAGCAGTTCGCTTCTTTACTAGCTCAGACTATTAAGCCAGTTGATTCAAAGGATATTGGGTTGAACAAAGAACAACTTTTGGGATCATTGCAGGCTGAACCCCAGTCGGATTGGAAGTTGGCAGTCCAGTACTTTGCTAATTTTACTCTGGCTTCCACAGTTTTTATGAGCTTCTATGTAATAGTCCATATCTGGCTAGCTGCACCTAGTACAATTCAAGGACTAGAGTTTGTTGGGCTTGACTTGCCTGATTCTATTGGTGAATTCATTGTGTGTGGTGTTTTGGTTCTTCAAGGCGAAAGGGTGCTGCAGTTAATATCACGCTTCATGCAGGCTAGAGCACAAAAAGGTAATTTTCACATCTAATAACTACTCTTCTCAGTTAGTGAGAAGAGTTGCTATGTCTTGTTTCTTGTGTTTTGGCCTTTGATTTCCTTTAACTTTTGTCTCTCCACCAATAGGGAGTGATCATGGAGTTAAAGCACAAGGGGATGGATGGTTACTAACGGTTGCCTTGATTGAGGGATGTAATTTAGCAGCTGTAGATTCAAGTGGGTTCTGTGATCCATATGTGGTGTTCACTTGCAATGGGAAAATTAGAACCAGCTCAATCAAGTTCCAGAAATCTGGCCCCCAGTGGAATGGTGAATTCAATATTGTTCGTTGTCTATGTCTGACTTCAGTGTGCATGTTTGCACTAGCATACTCTTCAATAATGAGTCACAGAATCCTACAGTTTCTATAGATTCCCTTCAAAAGTTTTTTGTAAAATTTATCTAAATCTTAATTTAATCAAGTGTTTAAATAAACTCTATTGCTCTTTGCAGAAATATTTGAATTTGACGCAATGAAAGAGCCTCCTTCCGTACTGGATGTAGAAGTTTTTGATTTTGATGGGCCTTTTGATGAAGCTACATCTTTGGGACATGCTGAGGTTAACTTTGTAAAATCTAATATATCAGATCTAGCTGACGTGTGGGTTCCTCTGCAAGGTAAGTTGGCTCAGGCATGTCAATCTAAACTGCACTTGAGAATTTTCTTGGACAATACAAGAGGTGGAAATGTAGTTAAGGAGTACTTAAGTAAGATGGAAAAAGAAGTTGGGAAGAAGGTAAATAGATAGCTATTCTTCTTTTTTCTTTTCACATTGGTTACAAATAAAATATTATTGTCCATTCTTGATATTTACTTACAAGCAAATGATATATTTGCAGATAAATGTGAGGTCTCCTCAAACAAATTCAGCCTTTCAGAAACTCTTTGGGCTTCCACCAGAGGAATTTCTCATCAATGACTTTACCTGTCACTTGAAACGGAAAATGCCTCTGCAGGTTCTGTTTGTTGGGTTATATAATCTTTTGTAAAGCTCACTTACTTTTTGATGTTTACTCTTGAGTAATTAATAATTTAATATACTCTATTTGTCCCTTTTTGTTAATCTGCAGTTGCATCCATGCAGGGTCGCCTGTTTCTCTCACCAAGAATAATTGGGTTTCATGCCAATTTATTTGGGCACAAGACAACATTCTTCTTCCTTTGGGAAGACATCGAAGACATTCAAGTTTTAACTCCTACTCTGTCATCAATGGGCAGTCCAATCGTTGTTATGACTCTCCGTCTAGCAAGAGGGATGGATGCTAGACATGGTGCGAAGACACAAGATGAGGAAGGCCGGCTGAAGTTCCATTTCCAGTCTTTTGTATCTTTCAATGTAGCTCATCGGTAAAGAGCCAATCTATCTTATGTGACTTTTGGTTTTTATAATTTTGTTTAATGTTGAAAGCATGTCTAACCCAAGCTTTTTTCGCAATTTCTAGAAATGAATGCTAACATTATAACTTCCATTATGTTGTTCCATGTGGCAATTATAAGTGTGATGGCCAGAACATTTGGGCCGGGAATTTTCTTTACAAGTGGCAAATGGACTTGCTTTTAAAATACATTGGACAACTTCTGTACTTCAAGCCCTTTTGCTCTTGCACCTGTAATCTAACGTACTATCCTTTTCTAATAATCAAATAAGAATCTCTCTACTTCATAAATCCTGCTTTAGTTGTACTCTGAGAAATAATTGAGAATCATGTTTTGGTATCATGCCTCTTTTACTTTTGCTGAATTTTTTCCTGTGTCTAAAATCTATTGTCTAAGATGCTTGCTTGGTTGTATATCAACTGTTGTTCTCAGGCAATCAAATGATGAAACTAGTCCCAAGTATTATGAATTTATTATGATAAAAATGAGTGTAGGTAAAATCTGTGTTGTGTAAGTTTCTGAAAGTAAAAGTGTCAAAAAAGGGGAAAGATTGGTAAAATGTCATATGATGACTTTCAAACTTTTTGTTGACTAGGACAATCATGGCTCTGTGGAAAGCCAGATCCTTGAGCCCAGAGCAGAAAGTGCAAATAGTTGAAGAAGAGTCCGAGTCCAAAAGCCTCCAAACTGAAGAGAGTGGATCCTTCTTAGGCCTTGAGGATGTCAGTATGTCTGAGGTTTATTCAGGTGCTCTTCCTGTTCCTGTAAGTCCTCTCTCTCTCTCTCTGAGTCTATGGAACTATTTTTTTGCAGCATGCATCCTGTTAGGAACATTTTTGCTTCCCATGTTTTGTTGATGTACTGCAAGTCCTTTCATTTAAGGTTATCTTTAGGGATTCTTCTCATGGAAATGTAGTATATGTATGTATTGATGGTAATTGGCTAATTGCTTTATGGGTGATTCAGACTAGTTTCTTCATGGAATTATTCAGTGGTGGTGAATTGGACCGTAAAGCTATGGAGAGAGCTGGTTGTCTTAACTATTCTTGCAGTCCATGGGATTCAGAAAGGGCTGATGTGTATGAGAGGCAAATATATTACAGATTCGATAAGCGTGTGTCCCGTTATAGAGGAGAGGTGACTAGTACTCAGCAGAAATCCCCACTTTCTGAGAAAAATGGTTGGCTTATTGAAGAAGTTATGACTCTCCATGGTGTTCCACTTGGGGACTATTTCAATGTATGAATGCCACCAAGAACTTTTTCTTAATTGTATCTTTGGGTCTGATGCTTAAGCTTGCTTTTGGCTTGATTATATAAATTATTCTACTTCTTCCTCATTATTGACCACTTTGAAACTTTTAATTGTTTACAGCTTCACCTTAGATACCAAATTGAGGATTTACCCTCAAGAGCAAAGGGATGTCAGGTGCGAGTATTTTTTGGAATTGCATGGTTGAAAAGCACAAGGCATCAGAAAAGGATTGCCAAAAACATCCTCTTAAATCTAGAAGATCGATTGAAGGTGATATTAGGTGTGGTTGAGAAGGAATTTATTGCAAGATAGTGCATGACTGGCATTACTGATATTATACACCTGATTGGCAGATGATCTTCAATATCATCTTCAGAAAGTTACTGCATTCTTCGGTTGGTTTTCTTTATTGCTTGTTATGTTTGCAGATTTGAGACCTATCCAAATTTGCATTATAGCTGTGATCTGCATGAGTATCTCAATCAAAACCAATCCCAAATTTTGCTTGACAGCGAATGTGAAAATTGCTGGTGGATTACTTGGTTTTAACTTGCTTTTCGGAATCTAGCATAGTTTGCTTATTCAGTTTGATGCTTGTAAGACCGAAGCCCCTGATTGAAGCAGACCTACCAAAGTTACAGTGTCTTGGAAAATATGGTCTGTTACAGCTCCTTTTACCATTTCTGGTTGAAGATATAATATTCTTTTTTGCTCTTTTCAAGAATATCAAACTGTATTTTTGAGACAGACTATTGTTTTTTATTTTGAATGGAATTGGCAAGAGAAACTTTTGTTTCTTGACAAACTGCTGTAATCATAATTTAAATCATATTTGTAGTGTATATTAATTCGTCAAAAAAACTAGTGTTGAGATGATGGTGCATGCAGCGGTTCTTATAAAGATTAAAGAATGTAGGCGTTGTGGGATTGTTCGATGGTTGGTTGGCGGGGGAATAGGAGTAAACATGGATGGCATTGGCCAATTGAGTGATACTAACACACTTGTCTCGTGTCTCCGGTCCATGTATAGTCCCACACTTGAAAAGAACAAGAGGTTTTTATACATTATGAAAATTTGACATTTAATTAACATATTTTAATTCATATATATTTAATTTTCATATTGATTTGATAATTTTAATTCAATCATAAATTTTGGTTTTTTTTGTTATTAAAGTGTTGACATTGTCATTGATTTGATGATTTATATTGACCTGCTAACATGAAAATTTGGATCGAAAACAGTTGTTAAATTATGTAAATTTTATACAAAATTTACATTTAGTCATTTTAGTATAAAAATATTTAAAATTTTTATAAATATTTTATTTTTTAAAAATTATTAAATTTATTTTTTTAATATTTTAATGATTTTAAGATTATTTTTTAAAAAGTTTTTTATTTGTTTAAAATTTAACATTTTTATTTAATCAAAATATTTAATTTTATTAATTTTATTTGAATTTTTATAAAATTCTTTTCATTTTAATGTTTGGAAAAATTTTTTATAATAATTTATGTTTTAAAAAAGTTTATAAATTTTAAAAAAATTTATATATTTTTATCTTATTCAAGTGAAAAATAAATTGAAATTAGAAAATCTTTATGTTTTGTTATTTTTTTGTTTTATCTAGATTTTTATGCTCTTATTTCAAATATACTAAATGACCAAATTCTAAAGAATCGTTTTTTTATTATCGTTTATTTATTTTCATTTAAATATTAAAAAATATAAAAAATTTCTAAAAACCTAAAAAATAAAAAATATAGAAAATTTTATAAAATTCTAAAATGTTAAAAAAATTAAATATTTTTTATTCAATAAAAAGTTAAAATTTAAAAACATAAAAAATTCAAAAAATAATTTTTATTTAAAAAATTAAAATATTAAAAAAGTAAATATAATATTTTTAAAAAATTAAAAACTTTCTAAAAAATTCAAAATATTGAAAATTTTTAGAAAATATCTAAATTTTTAAATAACAAAAAATTAAAAAATACAAAACTTTTAGAATAAAATTAGAATATTAAAACATTAAAAAAATAAATTTAAAATTTTTAAATAACTAAAAATTTTTTAAAAAATTCAAAAAACTTTTTATATTGAAAGATTAAATTTTAAATTTTATGTAAATATATGAATTAAATTTTAAATTTTATGTAAATATAAAAATTATTTGTAAAATTTAAAAATTGATTTTATATATAAACTTATCACCTCAACAAGTAATTAAATCAAGATTATATTATCATTTGTAACAATAAAAAATTAAAAAATTAATGATTAGATTAAAATTATCAAACTAAAATAACAAAACGACTAAATTTGTATAAATTTAAAAAATAAAATTCAAATATTTGCATAGTTTAGGAATTTCCTGGATTTGAACAAAATTAATTATTGAATCGTAGAAAACAAGAAAGAAAGAAATACATGGACAGGGTTGGATTAGTAGCAGTGGTAGATCCGAATGCCTTCCCTGGCATTATGCCTGCCTGGACACTGAATCTTTTTGACGTTGGTTTGGCCTTTGGATGGAAACGGAATTGGGCTTAGGTTGATGATGCTGACAAAGAGTCAAGATTTCTTTGCCCCTCAGCCTCCTCTCCTCAAGCCTTCTCTCCGTCACTCCCTCAGCGCTCTATGCCTAGTGTCATATAAACCCTACGGGCTAACCAAGGTCTGTCACTATCTGCTGTTATTCAACCTCTGCCTAACCTCTTTTCTTCAATCTTTCATATATTTAGTTGTAGATTGAATCAATTCTGTTGGAACACTTTCTGGGCATCTTTTATGTATTCAACTTTTTCAACCTATGCTATACGAACTTAGCTGCTGCACCTTATCAATATGACTGGTCGGAGAAAGATTGGTTTTGGGATTCCTATCCATTTTCTGGAAAATCTCAACTCCTTTTTACAAATTCTTATTCCACCCATTTCTGTCCCCAACCCAAGTGAATCTGGCTTGGATTATTTTTGTTATCCAAAAGTTTTTTTTTTTAACTGAAATTTCTTGTCCCCATATGTTCTATGGTATTGTTACAATACCCCAATATTTATAGGTTTTTAATTCAAGGGTTGCAGTTGCGGTGCATGCATGAGGCAGAAGATTACTGCAAAATTTGAAGTGCTGAAATTTGCTGCTGCTGAGTGGTGACATAAGAATATTAATAATTAGCTATTAAATGAACAGGCTTTGATTTTTTTTTCCTTCGGGTAATATCATTAATAAAAAAAAAATGTATGGGAGAGGTGGTCTAGATAGATTCAAAAAGGCTCAATCGTTGGAACCCTTCTCAGTCTCCCTAAATTCTGCCCCCCAAACCATACCCAAAGTTGTGCAAGTTCAACAACACTCACATTCTCAAAATGCAGTTGCTCAGCTTCAGCAGGAGGAGCACACTCAGTCTCAGCCAGCCACCCAGCTTGGGGGAGGTCAATCAACCTGGCAGCCTCCTGATTGGGCCATTGAGCCTCGCCCTGGTGTCTATTATCTTAAAGTTCTGAAGGAAGGACAGGTGCTTGATCACATTAATCTTGATAGACGCAGGCACATCTTTGGCAGGCAATATCATACTTGTGATTTTGTGCTTGATCATCAGTCTGTTTCACGTCAGCATGCTGCTGTCATTCCTCACAAGAATGGCAGGTCACTTCTATTTTTCTTGCTTTTTTATTTTCTTTGTCTCTTTCTTTACTTATATTCAAATCTCACTATTATTTTCTCTACTCACTGCCACTCTATGAGTAGCAGTAGAAGAAAGTAAGGAAATAAAAACAGTTATTATTACTGACAGTCTACAATGTACAGAATGATTTTGAAAACTTCTTGATTCTACTACTACACTGAGTTTACTAGTTGACATGTAAAATTGCAGTTGATTCTGTTCCAGTTATTGCTTTGGATGTGTAGTCATTGCTAGACAACATAAGTTTATTTCTATTACTCAATAAATCAAATGTTCGCTTTCATTTTTGCATATAGTTTTGATTTCTGAAGCTCTCCAACCATATGTAAAGTGTTATTCACCAGCTTTTGTAATCTCAACAGCATATATGTCATCGATTTGGGATCGGCGCATGGAACATTTGTTGCAAATGAACGTTTGATGAAAGATGCACCTGTTGAGCTTGAAGTAGGGCAATCTTTGCGTTTTGCAGCATCAACGAGAACTTATATCTTAAGGAAGAATAATGCAGCTCTATTTCCTCATCCTCCACCTCCCACTGGGATAAATTTACCCCCAGTGCCTGATCCTTCTGATGAAGAAGCTGTTGTAGCTTATAATACACTCATAAATCGTTATGTTCTGAGCAAATCTGACCTGCTGCAGAAATCCGATGTGTCTACCGTCTCATTAGCTGTAAGAGAAGACAGCACAGAGCCAGATAGGGCCACTAAAAGAATGAGGAAAGTAAAAGCGACCTTCAAGGATCAAGCTGGGGGAGAGCTGGTTGAAGTTGTTGGAATTTCAGATGGTGCAGATGTAGAGACAGAACCTGGGCCTGTAGGTGTGAAGGAAGGAAGTCTTGTTGGAAAATATGAATCTCTTGTACAGACAACTGTAATTCCTAAAGGTAAGAATCCATCATCCGTAATGGAAGACAATGTCTTTCAGAAAGGTGTGACTGATAAACTGCAAGAAGTCTTGAATAAGGTTAAAAAAGCTCCAAAAGATGGCATTTATGATGATCTTTATGGAGAATCTTTATCTGACAAAGTGGGCTCATCCTGGGCGTATGCTTCTGTTAGTTCTGCTGGTAGACAAGGCTTTTCCTTCTCCTACAAATGATGCTATTACAGGAAAGGCTATTGGTGTCTCAAGTGGAAGACCTGGAAGTAACTCTGCCTCGTATGATGAAAGTGAAGATGATTTATTTGGTGAGTGATAGAATGAAGCTGAAATGCTCTTGCAAATTGAATCATTCTCACTTTGGGTTTGACAAAGTGACTGAAAAAATAAGTTCTCTCTGGACATAGCTAGCTATTATTTCCTCTGAAGTTGGAGAAATTTTGTTGTAATTTATTAGCAAATGTTTTCTTTGTACAGTGAACTGTCAACCTGAGATTGGGGGTTTTAAAGCCCATGTTGTCCTTGGAAGAATTAGTTTATAGCAAAATTTTAATCTTAGTACGTGGCTCAATTGGTTTTTTTAATCAACTGTTCTTTTACTTGCAAGTAGGGGGTTCAAGCTGTTGCCCGCACATGATAGGCATAGCCGTTGTTTAGAATGTTTGTGTTATTCTCTTTTTCTGCATTCTTGATTTTTATCTGTTATGGGTTTTACAGTCTTGCATATCTGTTATTAATGATGAAATGCTTGCCGTCTTTTTCAAAGAAAAATGTCTTATGCTACACTTTTTTTCCTACATTTTTGGTTTTGCTGCTTCTCTTTTCACTTTTCTTATGGCCTTGTGATTTGTGGTTGGTAATTATTTTTCATTTTTGATGTGTTCGGCCGACAGAGGGGATCTTTAGGTCTTTTTTCATGGGCTGGCAGAAGTATGAATTCTCTTTTTTTATTTTATTTTTGGGATAAGGATGTAGGTATGCACTTCCTTATATAGCTCTTACATTTTTAATGATTATTATTTTTGTTCTTAAGCATAAGACCGGTTGGAAATGTTGGAGTGATGAGATGGGAGGCAAAAGTGAATCATGAAATTTTAAGTGCCATCATCCTTGGTCTGTTTGCGGGACAAATTCAACAAGAAATCAAGTTTAATGTATTAAATGGGTGATTGAATCTATATGGTTGTATTTTTGTAAGTGTTGAAGGTATTTAGTGATAAAAAAGGTATTGTAGTCTTTTTTCTCTATTAAAGATTGTCGACAGATAATTAGCGGTATTTCAACACTTGAGTAGATTTGACATGTCAAGTTGGCCTGACATGTTCAATGTCATATCAATTTGATCAGGTCATTGTTGGCCCCTTATTAGTTCCTTACTTCTCACCTATAAATATGGACATCCAAATATTATTATTTTAGGTTTCATCTTGTCTAAAACCTTTTACATTTCTCTCGTTTTGATCTCCCAAAATTTGGTCTTTGACTTGCGCGTAGGAATGCAAAAGCAGGGAACACTTCCTATTTTTTCGTTTAATCATTTTCTTCTCTTTCTTGTCCTTTTAGGAATACTTTCAGGTTGAAGCTCAACACAAACATTTGGCATGCCAGATAGGGGTTTTTCCATTCATCAATCATGCTTAGAGTTATGCCATTTAGGAAAATAGCTTTGGAGGAAAGAGAGATAGCCATCCTAGCTAGAACGAAAATGCATAACAGCTAACACATGGATTAAGCTACTCCGAAACAAGCTGGTCTAACCATGGAGTAATTCTAGGCTCTAACTGAGTAGATACAAGTCCTTAAGCAAATTTTGCAAACTATAACCCTACCCCAGACTTCAAAAGTGCCCGATTTAGTCACCTTTGAGCGACATGTTGTAGAAAGGCAACCAAGCTATGAAGAGGTTAAAGTTTCTTCTGCTTCTAAAGAAGAAGAGTATGATGTTCTGACTACTTACCATTACCTTAGCCATAACTTAACACATGTTATGACCTAAAAATCAAAACAAACCAACTAAGAAGCCCAGCCGAATAGAGACTTGAAAGCTCAAATGTAAGCCATGGAGAAAGAACTGAAAGGCAAGGAGGTAGCTTTCGAGGACAAGCTCAAGTTCTTAGAGACCTTACCCTTCACTGAAGAAATCGATAGAGTTATGCCTCCAAAGGGGTTCAAAATGTCAACCTTGAAAACTTATAATGGTACATTTGACCCCTTTGACCACTTGGAGCTTTATAAAACTAATATGATGATGTAGGGTGCAAATAGGGCTCTAATGTGAAGGGTTTGGCTATTACCTTCAAAGGTGTAACTTGATCTAGATATAGCAACCTAAAGTTGAGGTCGACCATGACATTTAAAGAACTTATCCACTCTTTCCTATGCTGATTTGTAAATAGTCGAAGAACAAAGAAAACAACCTTAAGCCTGATGTCAGTTCATCAAGGCATAAATGAATCTTTGAAAGATTATGTTATGTGTTTTAATATGGAAGCTCTACGTGTGAAAAACTTGGAGCAAACAACCGTTGTAGTCACCAAAACAAATGGATTCAATGATAGAGAGTACCACTTCAAGCTAAACCTATCTTTAGAGCCACCCAAGACGTTGGCCAATGTCTTGTTCGTGGTCGAAAAATATATAAATGTTAAAGCTACAATAAGAAATAACTGAGGTAACAGAGCCTTATTCTCTCTATTTGATGATCAAGGTGAGAGAGGCTCATTCCTTTTCTTCGATCGCAAAAAAAGTAAGGATTTCTATGATTATTCCCTAAGAGGGATACAACATAGAGCTAAAAGACCAAGTAGAGAAAGAAACCACATTGTATTGAATACCTCTTGAAAAAGGATTTTGATGCAAATTGAAAGAAATTCAGAGTTCAGATGGTTAAAGCCACTGAGTAAAATATAAATAGGGATTTGACTAAAAGATGTGCCTTCTATAGAGATATAGGCCACAACAACGAAGACTGCATTGACCTAAAAAATGAGATTGAAGCTTTAATTAGAAAAGTTAGCTAGAAAGGTGTATAGATTGATGAATGTAGGGCTAGAATAGGCCTAGACTATAGAAAGGATCGAAAAAAACCCGTAAAAGACAAAGAAGGCAGGCTAGAGGAAAATGAAAGAGGAGATGTTTGGAGGGATAAGTAAAAACAGGAGGAAGGTTGAGCTACTGATAATAGAACAATTATCAGGATAATCAATGTGATCATTAGGGGAAGCTCTACTTTGGCCAAAAGGAAATTTAATTAAGGTATGGTCATGGCTATCGGTTTCTCGATGAAGAAAGAAAAAGATTGGAAGAACAAATTAATCTCATTTAGTTCGAAGGACTTGAAAGGGATTCAATACACCCATAATGATGCTATAGTGATCACTACCATGATGTCCAATTGCGTGGTCAAAAAAACCTTATTCAATAATGGAAGCTCAACTGACATCTTGTATCATGCCACCATCAAGAAGATGGGAATTAGGGAATATTGGCTGTAACCAATCACCATAACTCTGATAAGATATAGAAATGAGTAGGTATAAGTTAAAGAAACCATTAAACTACCAATATATTTGGAGACAAAATTGATGATAGTCATGTCGGTCATAAAATTTATGATCGTAGATGTCCATCTGCGTATAATATGATATTGAGCTAAAATAGTCAATTTGTTATGCAACTCATAGGCTTAGCTCTTCATATGAAAATAAAGTTTCCAATACCTCATGGGTTGGAGAGGTAAGGGAAGACTAGTCTACGGTATGATAATGTTATGTTACAAAAATGAAAAAAAAAGATTGAGAAGTAGATTGGTAGTTCAGTTGAGGCCGAAAAGGTTAAAAAAGAGAAGCAAGCAACAAAAACTAAAGAGAAGCAGGAAAACAAGAGTAAGCACCCACAATAATAGAAAATTGACCCGACAGAAATGTCTTTTAAATTGCTCTAAGTTCTTAAACTCCACTCCAACAAATGATATACTTAACAATTTTTGTAATTTTTGGATAGATCTTAAAAGTGATCGAGCTTCTAAGTTGACATGAATATTTACATGTTAATGGGATCGCACTAACACACCGACCAAAAGAAAAATTAAAACAAAATATACATACATTTTCTTTTTCAATTTTACATTTTGATAATTTATCAATAATATACTGTAACGTTAGGATTTGTCTCCATAGGAAGCGGTCCTAACCTAACTAAACAACAAGAAATAATTAATCAAAGATATAAGGCAGATAAAACCGACTTGAACTAGTAGAAGACCTTGTGTCTATAACATTTTGGGAGAAAACCCTTGAAAAATATATGCAGATTGGACTTAAAATTGAATATAAAGAGCAGTTAATTCAACTTTTAAGCAAATAATACCGATCTATTTCTTAGACATCGTTTGACATGCTTGGTATTGATATTAAGGTAATGGTCCATAGGTTGCACACAACTTGGACATGAAACTAGTTTAACAAAAGAAGTGGACCTTTACCCCTGAAAGAAAAATGGTTATTGAAGAAGAGGTCAGCAAGCTACTATAAATAGGCTTCATTAAGGGAAGTCTACTACCCTAAATGGATAGCCAATGTGGTCATGGTCAAGAAATATAACAAAAAATAGAGGATGTGCATTGATTTTACCAACTTTAATAAGGCATGCCCAAAATATAGTTTTCTTTTTCCTAGCATAGATTAGCTGGTGGACAATAATGCCGAGCACGACCTCCTCAATTTTATAGATGCTTACTCTGGCTATAATCAAATTAAAATGTTAAAGGGAGATGAAGAAAAAATGGTTTTCATTACTAAAAAAGGCATCTATTGTAACAATGTAATGCCATTTGGCTTGAAAAATGCAAAAATAACTTACCATAGACTGGTTAACAAGGTTTTCAAAAATCAAATTGGCCGAAACATAGAGTACGTAGATGATCTGATAGTAAAAAGCAAGAGCCTAATCGAGCACTTGAAAGACCTTGAAGAAACCTTTGACACCTTGAAAAAGTATAACATGATGTTTAACTCGAGTAAGTGCACTTTTAATGTCATATCAGATAAATTTCTAGGCTATATGATTGACAAAAAAGGAATAGAGGTGAACCCAGAGAAAGTTCAGGCAATTTAGATATGAAAGTATCGACCTCGGTGAAAGATGTACAGAGGTTAATTGAAAGAATAGTTGCTCTGAATAGATTTATGTCCAAGTCGATAGAGTGATGGTTGCCATCTTTCAAGATCTTAAGAAACTCTCTGACTTCAGAAGGACCTTTCATTGTAAAAAAGTATTTGATAAGCTTAAAGAGTTTCTGGCCTCTCTACCTATCATTTTCAAATCAAAGCCTGACGAGACATTGTATCTGTATTTGGCCACTACCCACTAGTCCATTAGCTCAATTTTGATTTAAAAAAAAAGTTAAGGCAGATGTTGATCTACTTTATGAGCAAGATGTTAATAGGATTGGAGGTAAACTACATCAGAATAAAAAGTTAGCCCATATAGTTGTCACATCAGTTAAAAAACTCATACCATACTTTCATGCTCACATGATTCATGCATTAACTGATCAACCA